AGTTCCGGAACGTGCCATGATTCTTGAGCCGTTAGGAGCTCTGTTGTGGAGAATAAAACTGCTGTTCTGGCGTAATTACAGGGATAGACTTATGTGGAGCTCTTTTAGCAGGTATTCTTTTCGAGTTTGCAAAATCTTGATTTGGAGCAAACGAACGTGATTTTGGAGTTTTGGGTGATTAAGAACTCACTCGCCCCTTCACAGCCTGCCGACTGCAACGGGCATTTCTCATCGACTGAGCAATAGAGTGGAGTACATCACCGCGAGCGCGTCCAGAAGTGCATGCTGACAGTTGCGGGACCAAATTGGCAGTTTCTTCCACCATGATTCGCCCACGGCACAGCACTCAGCCGCACAAGGCTGGCGGCAAGAGGGATTTCCCCTCTCGCAATTGATGACTTACCTGAGCGACGACATTGAACGTCAAGTCTCTATTTCCACAGATTCACACGACGGCCTAGTTTCATTCCTGCTGCTTCCGACGCTCCATGCGATTCATACTACCGCAGACTACTCTCGTCCGACCGATCCAAAAATCCAGGCCACCGACCGAAGATGACGCAGGAACGTAGCCGCGACGACTACAAGGTGGCATGGATCTGTCCGCTGGAGGTCGAGCAGATCGCAGCGATGGAGATGCTGGACGAGGAACATCCCGCACTTCCGAAGCCCCCAGCAGACCACAACGTGTACAGCCTTGGGAGCATCAACGGCCACAATATCGTTATCGCAGGTCTACACCAGCCTGGCAACTGCCCCGCGGCTACGGTTGTGGCGCAGATGAGGATGACGTTTCCCAACTTACGCTTTGGTCTCTTGGTCGGTATTGGTGGTGGAGTTCCCGTTCAGACGGATAATGGGATAATACGACTGGGTCATGTGGTTGTGAGCAAGCCTGCAGGTGGACACTCCGGCGCTCTACAGTACGATCATGGAAAAGCTAAAGACGGTCACTTCGAGCGGACAGGTGCTCTGGCACCACCGCCGGCTGTCCTTCTCAATGCCGCGCAAGCGCTAGCAGTGCAGCGGGCGAGGCTAGGTGTTGATCCAGTGCAGCAGAACGCCCGTCGAATCGACATAACAAGCCGTGGCCTTCGACGATTCCAGTACCCCGGCGAGCGGCACGATCATCTCTTTCCACCAGACTACATCCACCAGCATCAAAGAGTATCCTGCGCCACTGATTGCGATCCATCGAAGCGTATCCCTCGAACGAGCGATGATGACGACACGTTTGTTATTGTGCACAGGGGCAATATCGCATCTGGAGAGCTGGTGGTGAAGGATGCCTTACTAAGGGATACACTAGCTCAGCAGCACGGACTGTTGTGCTTTGAGATGGAGGCTGCTGGGGCGATCGCTGACTTTCCCTGCCTTGTTGTCCGCGGCATCTCGGACTACTGCGACTCGCACAAGAACGACATGTGGCACGGATATGCGGCAGCTGTGGCAGCAGCGTATGCTCGACAGCTCTTCTTCCACTTGCCGGTAGATGAGGTGCAGCGGTAAGAGGATTCATCAGATATGACATGAGGGTCAACAGTCTTAGTAGCTAATACATTCAACTAGATGCTCTGGTAATGCAACACAGACAGCTTCTTCATTTATACTCCCCTTCAAGCTGCCAGGAGTTCACAGCGTGAACCACTTTGTAGCCAGACAAGAAGAACTCGGGCGTCTCTATAACGAACTGAAGTCGACTGGAGAGCGTCGGACGGTTATTCTGCACGGCCTGGGTGGCATCGGGAAGACTCAGACAACAATCGCATTCGCAAAGAAACATCGTGATGATTACTCGGCGGTTTTTTGGCTTGATGCGAGAGACATGATAGCGCTCAAGCTGAGCTACCAAAGCCTAGCCCAGCGAATTGCAACAGAGACCTCATCCATGACATATATCAAAAACGCCCTTTCTAATCGAGACCTCGATGAGATGGTCAGTGCAGTCAAGCGATGGTTGGATGAACCAAAGAATAATTGTTGGCTGATGATCTACGACAACTACGATGACGTCAAACTTCACAATCGTGGTAGTCCTAGTGAGAACGAGACTGGTTCGCAAGTAGGGATCGAGAGTGATGCTGGCGAGACAGGCTCGAAAGCCTACGACATACGCCCATACTTTCCCGAAACCGACCACGGTGCCATTCTCGTTACGACGCGGTCCTCAACAGTGGAGCTCGGACAGTTGATCCAACTAAGTAAACTAGGGGACGTAAACGACAGCTTAGAGATACTACAATCAACATCCAATCGTGCCAATCTGGCCCAGGGTGAGTCAATCGATCCAGGAAGTAAGGCAGGAATTAACCGTCAAATAGATCCTGATGCGACGGCGCTTGCGCGCCGACTTGACGGTCTTCCGCTTGCCCTCTCAACAGCTGGGGCCTATCTCAAACAAGTGTCGAGAACCTGCAGCGAATATCTCCGCTTATATGAGAAGTCTTGGCTGCGTTTACAGAAACAGAGTCCGCGACTATTGACCTACCATAGAGCGTTGTATTCCACATGGGAAATCTCGCTGCAGCATATTCAGCAGCAAAGCCTGAGCGCATCTATGCTCCTGGGACAATGGGCATACTTTGACAATGACGACCTGTGGTACGAGCTGCTGCGGGAGGGCAGATCAGAGGGCCCGGCATGGCTACTCGAAATAACCGAAGACGAATTGAGCTTTGATTTAGCGATAAGACTGCTCTGCGAGCATGGACTAGTGGAAGCAAACCCGCCAGCGAAAGTGACGGGAAGAGAGTCACAGGGATATAGTGTGCATCAGTGCGTTCACGCGTGGATGGAGCACGTTCTGAATAAAGGGGTAGACGAGGAGAGGGCATGGACAGCGATGAGATGTGTAGCATCGCATGTCCCAAGCACTGACCAGCACGAGTTTTGGTCTATTCAACGACGACTTTTACGTCATGCAGATCGATGCATTAAAAACGAGGTCATAGATGTTGGAGAAGAGGATATATGGATGTTTTACAATCTAGGCATCCTCTACACGGACCAGGGCCGACTCAAAGAGGCTGAGGCCATGTACAAACGGGCTCTTCAAGGCAAGGAGAAGGCATGGGGTCCAGAACACACATCGACACTCGACACGGTCAACAATCTAGGCATCCTCTACAAGAACCAGGGCCGACTCAAAGAGGCCGAGACGATGTACGAACGGGCTCTTCAAGGCTACGAGAAGGCATGGGGTCCAGAACACACATCGACACTCGATACGGTCAACAATCTAGGCATCCTCTACAAGAACCAGGGCCGACTCAAAGAGGCCGAGGCCATGTACGAACGGGCTCTTCAAGGCTACGAGAAGGCATGGGGTCCAGAACACACATCGACACTCGTGACGGTCAACAATCTAGGCATCCTCTATAAGGACCAGGGCCGACTCAAAGAGGCCGAGGCCATGTACGACCGGGCTCTTCAAGGCTACGAGAAGGCATGGGGTCCAGAACACACATCGACACTCGACACGGTCAACAATCTAGGCATCCTCTACAAGGATCAGGGCCGACTACAAGAGGCCGAGGCCATGTACGAACGGGCTCTTCAAGGCTACGAGAAGTCATGGGGTCCAGAACACACATCGACACTCATGACGGTCAACAATCTAGGCAGCCTCTACTCGGACCAGGGCCGACTCAAAGAGGCCGAGACGATGTACGAACGGGCTCTTCAAGGCTACGAGAAGGCACTAGGATCACACGCCATGAAGACATATGTGCCTGCATTGAATACATTTGAGAATCTTGGTTCTTTGTCCAAACAGCTGGGCGATGCAGAGGCAGCCGTCACGTATTACCAACGGGCACAGAGCGGCCTTTTATCCGTGTTTGGATCTCACAACGAGCGGTATAGAAACGTATCTGGCAAAATCTACTCCTTGCAGTCCTCTTCGCAAGAGACGGATGTTTCGCTTAGCGAGGACGAGACGGATGAGTACTATAGTGCAGAAGAGCTGCAGGATGGGGGGTGAAAATTGGATGGAAAAGATTCAAGACAAAATTAAGGGATGTCTCGTCAAGGTAAAAAGTCTTCAGGTTGGTGGAGAGTGATTTTTATTGTACAATATAACAGTCACAATAGCCAGCATCATGTGCAGAATAATGATACCTCTGCATAATCGAATTCATAACGTCAGCGGGCAGTAGACCCTTAAATTGAGCTAGCCTATTTTGGCTGTCGAATGTACTCCAATTGATAAGATAATAAAACGTACTGTGTGAGCGCCAAGAATGGCTGAGTCCGTGCGGAAAGAGGGAAGAGAGTTGAACTCAGCATGAAGCCCTTTTCGTTAGCTACTGTAGCTACAAGCTGTACTGTCTACTACATCTACTTATGAAGGCTACTTTATAGTGAGATAATCTTAGTGTAAGACTTGAGTCGATTATTAGATTGATTAGTTCCCTATGACTAAACTAGATTGACGCTAGAGGTATCAACTAAGCAGCACTTCTATCTTTTATATGTACACTTTTGCTCTTACGCACGTATGTATGCCTAGCCTTTCTTTGTAGTATATATAACATACAATCTCTAAACCCATACAGTATGAATAGAGGTTAGTTTCAGTTAGAATAAAAAGCTTATTCGATTTATTCATCTGCTTACTGTTGTTTCTGTAAGGGGCTGGCCCCTAGGCTTGTTCAACGTAGAGGTGCCGTCGATTGACTATTCTAAGCTGAAGAAGGAAGAAAGGACTTTACAGGGATAGGCGCCTAGCAGCGGTGAAGCATACCGGGGCTAGGCGGTGTGCTACAG